TGAAAACATTTACAAACTGCTCTGCATACAAAGACATCTTCACCCAGAAACAACACTGTACATGGTACAGCACAACACAGAGTGGGAACAACACTGTCTGCAGCAGAGAATGCAGGTGGCAAAGGGCCTTTTGGATTTAATCCTGATGGTCCCATTGTTCAAAGAGCCTTTCCTACACATTTTCCTGAGTGGGATATGAGCATGAAGAGTGTATAAACAGAGTAAAATGGGTTAAAAGTTGCAGTTTCACTCCTTAAAAAAATAAACCCCAACCAACCCTTAAGGACATTTCATTAATAATGGCACTGAAGCCTTACTAAGTGAACTAAATGCCACAGAATTGGCACCACAGTCAGGATCATGTCCTCATCCACATTTTGAGGCCCTTAAATTGTTGCCAGTGATATGCAGCAACAAAATTCAGCTCGGTAACTTTTCCTTGCTGGATGCAGCGCAGGGAGATTGTGTTTGGACACTTCAGCACTCAAACTAACCACAAAGCAGAAGTTTTCCTGTATTCCTGTTAGTCATTTGGCATGATGCAAACATACCCAGAACTGCACAAAGTGCCTTTCCTCACACTGGAAGTAGAGCTGCCACCAGTATCACCCCACTTCTTTCACTGGGCCACTTAAACCCTGTGCTCTCTGCTGCTTTCTCTCCAGGTAACGAGCTCGGGCGTCCAGGATTGATTGATCATCATTCCTTCTCTCCAGCTTCTTTGCTGAGTTGTCTGTGAGTTTTTCTAGAGGGAGAGGAGAGGAAAATGTATACTTTTCTGTGTGAAAACCCCTCACAGCATTACAATTCCTCCTGTTTGTAAAATACCCCCAAAACCCCACCAGAATCTCCAGTTTCTCGAATCCCAGGCAGCCATTTGAATGATTTCCAGAGGACAGACAGTGTCACTGCAGGGAGGGGAAAAAATTAAGCAATAAAATCATGACTTAACTTAACAAATATTAATATGTCACTATTTGCAGCTGGGCTCATCTCCTCCCCAGATATGTGTCTTGCTTTTTAGTGTATCAGAGAAAATACATCTTGTGTTCTATGCACCCATTTCCTCACCCACATCTCAGGCTCAAGTTGAGGCAGGAGAGGGACAGCACAGGGAGCAGGAAAACAGCTTAGAATAAACTATCTGTAAAAAATTTCCAGAGGTAGGAGGAAGACAGAGGATAACATGCAGATAAGGGAGTGGGAAAAATCAATCCTGCAGATCAGACACCATTAGAAAAGCACATTCTCCCCCAGCACTGAGACCTTGGGAGTGATTCTCCTAGAAGGGAAGAAAAGCAAGAAATATTTTCAGTTAAAAAGAATGACAATAAAAACAAATCAAAGACTCTGAGAGCCTAAGAACTGTGTGGATGAAGCAGCTGCTGCAGCCTGTTCCCAGGGCTCTGGGGCTGGGCACCAGCTTCTTTGACAGGAGGAAGGATTTTTAATCAACATTCACTGTTAGAATATTTGTAATGATTCTGTCTTGGAGTCAAATAATAACTCAGCTCATGCTGCAGCTTTTCCTGCACTAATTAAGCCTTTGTCAGCTACTCAGCCACCTACTTTTATGAAGCTCCCAGAAACACAACAGCTGTAGAGTCTGCATTAATCTCACATTAATTGACAACTGCCTGGTGAAGTCAAAACACTAAAGGGGATCAAGAGAACAAACCTCAGCTCCCCTGCATTATCCAGTGATATAAATATCCTTTCCAGCAAGTTTGTAACCAAATGAAATCCATGTTTTTGTCATTTAAAATGGTGGGTTTACACAGTATTGCAAGGCAGAGATGCTGGTCTGAGGCCAAAAGTCTACATTTCTGCTGTTGTTAAGGGAATTGAAGAGAATCTCTCTTGCCAGTGCCTGTGCTGTACATTCAATTGATGTTTTGGAAGGGTCAGCTCAGGAGGAAAGGGGCCCTTGGAATACTTGGCTGCTCTAGGAACCTGCTGACAGAAGAATTCAAAGAATGTCAAGCAGCCAGATCAGTTAGCAGCACCAGTGTTAATTAAAACTGACTATCTGAACATATGGCATTAAATTCACTGTCAGAATGAGACATTCACCAAAAATGTGACACTTTTTCGTCTGTGTTTTTTCTTGGGTGGTGGGTTTTTGGGGGCTGATTTTTTTCCCTTCTTCCTTACCCCAAAGCCCTTAGGACTTCTCCCTTGCAGGACAGTGTTATTTGGGTATCTGTGGTTAGATACCCTTCACAAACTTAAATAACCATCAGACTCAAAATGTTTTTATTCAGTTCCGGGTTAAACTCTGCTCCTGTCAGCTCTAGCAAACCAAAAGTAGGAGGGAGCATGGCAAGAACCAGTAAGCAAACACACACTGCAGAGACAAGAAAACAGTGAGAACTACACATATCAAACACTTTCAGCACAGCCAAATGAACACCACCTAGCCCAGAATGCTTTCAGTGACATAACAGACACACAGTGTCCACAACAGCCAGGAAAACCACACACACCACAGACATGGACTAGTGCAGTGCTTACCAAACTGCCTTTTCAGGTCCTCCTTATGCTCCCACTTGGTTATCTCCTCTTCAGTCACTTCTTCCCTTGCCACACTGCTCAGTTCATAGGCATCAATCTGGTGCAATCTGGGCAACAAGTCCTTGACCCACTCGTAGCGAACAGGACACACCGTCCGGACGTAGATCTTGGAGGTCACAGTGACATCGTGGAAGATGATCCACTCCAGGAGAGTCTCCTGGTTATAGAGCTGAACAGTCCACAGATTAGTTCAGAACTGCTAAAAAAGAACTTTTATATCTAGCACACCCATCAATGGAGTATTTTCCATTGATTCAGATGCAAGAAGGAGATAAAGTTGACACTATCCTAAATTTTCAGGCAGGGGAAATTAAGGCATAATGACTGGCTTAAAATTGCCCATGAAAGCCAAACAACCAAAGAGCTCAGACTGTGTCACACTCATATCATAAGCCAAACATTTACCAAATTTGAAGAAGTGAAGCTCTGCCAAACTCTCAAAATGAACACTGCACTTCTTCTGGTCTCGAGTTAGCACAAAGCAAACAACAAGAAGAGTTGACAGGGACCTGTCTCTTATTTCTTTCAGAGATCCTTTGCTACTTTATTAACAGGCCTTGGTAACTTACTGTGGATGAAGGGTGGATGTAGACTATGCTGCCATGTCCATCCATGGTGCAGAATGTCCTGGCTGCAGACCTGAGAGGTTTGTGAAAAACAAATGAACTCATGAGACACACTGAGCTGTGATTACACAGCAACACAGACAGCAACACTAAACCAAGAAAATCAGCAGAGAAAAAAATACTCATAGATCTAAGCAGAGGAAGATGCTTCCAGAATTAAACTGTAAAAAAAAAAAAAAACCAACAAAAAACAAAACAAAACCCACTGAGGAATAAAATATACCTGTCTCATTTAGCACAGTAGCACTGCAGACAGAACAACACAATAGTAATAAGGTTTGGGAGTGAAGTCTTTGACAGCCATGAAAATTGGAAATTTCCAAGCCTTTTAGTTTAAGAACTGGAACTACTCATCAGCTCCCAAGTCCATTTCACAGACAGAAAAATGACATTCCTGGGGAAGTTGCTAACATCCTTGGAATAGCAATTACAGTCCAAAGCAGAGAACCTACCAGGATTATCTGCTTTGGAAGAGAAAAAAACAAAACCATCTACCTACCCTGTGCAAACACCTCTTCAAGTACTACTGTGCTACAACTTACAGCCTTACTGTTCTGTTCTCCAACATGCAGCTACACCTTGAAATCATTTGCATAGTACCTTTTCCATTCAATTCTCCAAACTTTAGTACTTACCTCCTAGCCACATTGATAAAGTATCCTGCACACAGACATCTTCTCAGCAGTTCAGTTCTGGAGCCTTCAAATGTCTCTTTAGGGAAGTCTGGCAGCTGTGTGAAGAAAAAAACAACTTGAGTTGGGATCTTTCCTAAAGAAAAAGCAGTTAAACCCCCTCCATCCCATGAATTTTAAACTCTGGGTTTCTCACTGTAAGGAAACCATGAGGAAAGGAGACAAACCCTCCTTCTTGCCTGTTCCCACCACCATTCCTGTTAGTTACACGAGCAAGGATGCTCTGAAAACATATTTAAGTGGATTAGTTTCTCCTGAAGAAAGGCAGCAGCCATCTGGCAAGGGCTCAGTAGTCCAGTACATGTCGTAAATGCAAACTTAGACAGGTCAAACATACCTAGAAATGATATATTTTACCTGTTTCAGTTTAGTGATTATTTCCCGGAGCTGTTTTTCCACACTAAAAGCAGATTTCAAAGCTCTCCAATGGATCCAGTGTTCCTGGCACCAAGCTGAAGGAGACTTGCTGAGGACAGAAATACTTGTGTTATAGACCAGCTCTTTGTAAGCTGCAGGCAGAAACTTGCCTCTATTTTTTGTCAGGATCAGACAAAAGCAACAACCTCCACAGCCTTTGTTGGCTTAAAAACAAGTGTCTTGATAGAAATTTCAGACACAATAAGGAACAAATCTGCAGTTAGGCACGAGTGCACACATGTGTATGTGCAGTACATACATGTGTCTACGCAGCATAGCTGAAACCATCAGCAGTTGGGAGTTAGGAGCAATGCAAACCCCCTGACTCTAAGGCGCATTTCATACCTTGCTTTGCACTGTTCAAAAATGTTTAAGAGGGTTGCAAAGTCATTGCATCCTCCCACTTGCGAGGAAAGTTCCTGGTGTTGAAGCTCAGCCTCCTTTTGCTTCTGAGGATCACCTGAGGAAATAAGTTATAGCTCACTTACAATCGTTTTTAGTTATCAGTATCTAATTTGCTGTTAGCATCTCTCCCCAGTGTGTCTGGCAGCTTTGGCTCTTTAGTCACATTATTTTTAGACCTGTCTCTCCTCCACAGCTGCATTTACAGTTCTTCCTCCTTCCACTCCTGCTTTACAAGAGCACATAGATGCTATTACACGTGTGATTAATCTCATCAGTCAGCACTGGAGATGAAGAATTCTAGTCTCTTGGAAAGAAAGGTTCTGTGTATTTCCCTCTCATGTGGAAAGATAAAACAACAGTGGCCTTATCCAAACAGCTCACAGGGATCAAGTGGAAGTTTTGCCCTGAGAGGAAAAAACAAGACTGTTGAAACCAGCCCATCAGAGCACCATCTAATCTGTTTAACTCAGCTTTTGTCCTAGCACTTCAGTGCCACAGTAATGGAGGTCTTAAAATAAATAAGAGTCTAGAAAAAAAAGGTGATCTGTGAGTTTAGTGGGAATTCATCTTCACTAGATGCTAGGAATGTACTGGGCAAAAGCAACATTTCCCCAGTGTTATTTCAGGTTTTAAATACCCAAGGAATTTCTTCTCCAGCACAAGCTATTCCCTTGGGAGAGGGAGACATGACTTCAAAGGCCATTGTGGTGCTGCTGTTGTAGAGGATGTCAGAAGTTTGTGGGTGTTAAAAGGAACGTGGATGAAATAAATAGGTCTGATCCTACACATGTGGCACAGGAGAAAGTGCCTTAAGGATGGGAGTCTGTGTCTGCTGCCTAATGTATGGAGTTGCTGAAGAGGAACAAACATGTGCATTAGCCAGGTGACCAGAGAACAAGGGCATATTGCCAGATGGAGGAGGGGAGAGCAAGCAGACACTTGTGGGGATGGGAAGGACCCCAGAGCAGAATCCAGGTTAGCAGTACAGTCAGCAGTGTCTCTAGCTGTTGTGCTAACAGGAACAGTTAATGGACTACAGAGATAACTGGACAAGAGCCAATGAGTGACTAGGAAGGACAAAGGTCTCCCACAAAGACAGGAGGACATATACAGCCCATATGTAGCACAGCTGGGGGGGAAGGGAGGGCAGATGGGAGGGGAAAGGAGGTAGGAAGGAGGATGTGGGAGGCTTGAGTTTATCACTACTGGAAGGCCCTAGCTTGGAACCACAGCAAAACTATATTTTCCATGTAGAAAACCACTGGGAATGAGGCAGTGACAAGTTGAGCTTCTCACAGCAGCTTAAAAGGTCTATTTGATTAAACAGAGTTATTGGACAGAAAAGATAAGCCAGAGGTGACCCTCCATTCCTACAAAACAAATCAGTCCCTGTTGTCTGTACTCAGATCAACAGCAAAACATCTGCTGTGGTGCATTTTGGTATTCTGGTGGGGTTTTTATCCACTTCTCCTTTTCCCTCCCGTAACAGTTTTCCCCCTCATGACCTTTCAGCAATCCTTTGGCTTACACATATGTTGCTTTCCAGCTCACAGCCTTGGGCCAAATGCAACCCAATTCCATGCTCCTCTGAAGCCTTTGGAACAGCTGTTGTCCAATTCCTAGCATGCAGTGTGCCCAAAACCATACAAAGTTGAAAAAGCACATGGGGAAAGTGTCATTGTGTATTTGTCCTCATCTTAGCACTCCTCTCTCCAATCTGCCTCCACGGGACAAGGCGTTGCAATTGAGGAATGCTATTTAAACCACTGGTTTGAGGTCAGTACTTCATGTCTCCCACCAATGTAGGATGAGCTTGCTCCCTGGCAGAAGTATCCACATGCTCCAGGCTTGTGCTTGATTCTGAGTATGGAATCAGTTCCCACTTTATAACCTTGAGACACACCTGTAAGACACTGTGCCCTCACAACAGTTAGCAGAAACCACAGGCAGAAAGCCTGGCAGTAGGAAGCTGTGGAAAAGGTCTCCAGGTGAAGTAGTGTGTGCTGCTTGAAATGTTCCTGTCCAAGCAGAATTCCCCACCCAGCCGAGGCTGCTCTGGGATAAAGGACTTCCTACCTGGCCGAATGAAGACGTTTTCTACGGACAGCATAGCTGCTATGGGAAGCAGCAGATCTTCACAGTCGAGAGAAGCAGCTTTTATGACAGCACAGGTCAGGTTGGGAGGGAGGGGAAACTGCACCAGGAATTCCCCCAGTCTTGTCACGTGGCCTCTCCTTATCCCAGGAAAAAGATACATAAATCAGACTCGATGAAACTGTGTTTAAATGCAGATTAGAATGTGCACACCTAATGTGAACCACCACACACTGAAAAACAGCATGGGAGAAGCACTTCCCTCTGGCCTGTGTGTGCTGGGGGCATGAAGAAGTGTCACTAGCAGCAGAATGATCCACCTTTCTCCATTCTGCTTGTGCCTGCTCCCTGTGAGGCACAGACAGCTATGGAAGTGTATTAGATGCTTAAGAATACACTATATTCTTTCATTTATTTATTTGCAAGAAGAATTCCTGGAAGCTTAGGATAAGATCTCCCTTCCTGTCTTGAGTTCTTGGATGTGCCTCACAGCAAGTGCCTAAGTTCCCTCGTCACAACAGTCTGGGATCTGCTATCAGGAGCTACAGCACAGAGTTGAGGGAATTTGTCTGAGGTCACTCAGGAACTCCAGGACAATGTGGAGAAACTGATTTGTATCTCCCAAGCCCTAAGACATGTTCCAACCCTCCTTGTATAGACAGTATATTAAACTCTAGTAGTCAACTTCCTGGAAGTTAAATGAGGAAACATATTCTACTGTTGTGGGAAGCTCCTTAGTCCACACAAACAACTCACTAGCATCAGTTTAACCACTGGATTTCAAATCCTTGTAGTGACTATAAGTAGTGTAGTGGTTACCTGTTAATAGCACTGCACTGGTAAAGCTCCTTGAGAGCCTCTAAAATATGTCTTTCTTCAGGGGGGTCCAAATAAGGAAACCTACGGTAAAAATGAAAGGAAACATCTCATTATTCAGACTCAGCATAACTTTGTTTCATATTTTTCCTATGTTCATTCATGTTTTCGTGTTTATTAAAATACTTCTTTAACCTTCGGTTTCTGACCAAAGAGCACAGAATCATCCTCAGCATATGTGTTACTGCATGTGCAGCCCCAACTGAGGAATCCCAGCACAGCACACTCCAAGCTAAACTGTATTTCCTGCACTTGTATGATCCTAAAATTAAACAACTCCACGGAGTTGAAGTTTTTGGGGTAGAAAGGTCAGTATTTTAAAGGAACACTATGAACTGTATATTTAATTTTGGAGAGAGGGAACTCATTTTGGCAGAACCTCAAGCTGAACTTGAGCTCAAGATGCAATCTGGAATCACAGCCTGTGGAGAACAGCAGAAAAGCTGATTGAATTGAAGTGTCACAGTTGACTGAGGACCTAATCCTGCCTCCTGCCAATCGGCTCTGGGTGCCTGAGGCTCGGGGAGAAAACCATAATCCCCCACGCACAGAGGTTACCTTATGACATCATGCACAGAAAGGCACTTCAAGGTCAGGATCACAGATGTCAGACTGGTTCTCTTGATCTCTGGCACCGTGTGCTCAGGCATGCACTGCTCCCAGAACTCCCTGCTGTACAGTTGGTAGCTCTTCCCAGCTGCTGTCCTGCCAGCCCGGCCAGCTCGCTGCTTGGCTTCACTCCTTCCAGAGCAGACAGCAGGGAAAAACAACAGCCACACTCTTGAGTCCTTCTGCTATGAGCCAAAGCACACTAATTTTGATAAATAACAGCAATTCCTCTGCTTGTAGATGTAAGGTACGTTGTGCTTTGTAGGAGAAATTCAGTGTACAAGAACTGGCTGAACTTCCTGTGCAAGGAAGGTTCTTTAGGCTTCTCTGAATCACTGTGTTGTATTCAGCAAACACAAGAGGATGTGTGAGCCACTGTTCAGACTGCATTGTCAACTCCTCAATGTCTTAGAGAAAATTATAGGTCCTGAACCACTTTCTATTTCATAGTCTCATAGGATGTTAAGGGGTTGGAATGGAGCTTAGAGATCCTTCAGCCCCCAACCCCTGCCCTGGGCAGGGACACCTCCCACCAGAGCAGGTTGCTCAAGGCTTCATCCAACCTGGATTTAAACACTGCCAGGGTTGGGGCATCCATAGCTTCCCTAGACAACCTGTGCCAGTGTCTCACCACCCTCAAATTTAGCAGCAAATAAAATGGCTTTAAATTACAGAGCCTCGAGGTTGCTCCCCATGTTTTGATTGATTGATTGATTTTTAAGATGAACCAATAACTCCCAGAAACACCAAGCACATGACATTTTTAAAACTTACTTTGAAATGGGAACCACCTCCAGGATGTCCAAACCAACTCTGGGATTATGATTGGATTGCTTCACAAATCCACTGTCTACCACATACCTGAAAAAGATACAGAGAGAAAAACAAGAGAGGTCTCAGCAGACAAGACAGGTAACTGCCACATGCATGTCATCAAAGAAAGAACACATTTACCCTAAAATCACTGCAAACAGGTGCAGCCCTGAGATGGGTCAGTCTGCAGGATGTTAGGGAACACCTTCCAGCACCCACAGAGACTGTGGTCATTTAATTTGAACTTTGATTTCAAATTAGATTCCAACTCTATTAGTCACCTGTCAGACTATGTAATAGTATCAAGGGTTTTCTTACTCTCTACACACACAAGAGAAGGCAACAGGTAATCACTGGGCAGATATGGTAGGGGCAGGAAATCAGATGTGTCTTTCCACATCTAGAGCTCTCTGAATTATTCTCTCTGTTACAGCTTTTATGAAGGACAGAAAGCAATACCTGACTCCTTCAATTGTCAGAGATGTTGCAGCAATGTTGGTGGACACCACACATTTCCTGATGCCTGTAGGAGCTGGCAAAAATATTCTTCTCTGCTGATCTAAAAATGACAGGGACTCAGTCAAACAGGCTGTTGTGGTACAGTGCTGATTTCAAACCACATCTCTAGCTGTGCAGATTTACCCAAATGCTGAGTGAAAGTAATTTGAATGAAAATAGAAAGGGAATCACACAACACTCTGAAATGCAGATTGGGTATTATTTTAGCATATATCAGAAATCAGAGAATGTCTTATTTATTGCTTGTATGTTCAGCATTTGGAGGTGGAGAAAGGCCAAGTCTCCTGGATGTTTCCTAACCCAGAGCTAGGAAAACCAAACAAGATGTCTGGTCTTAACAGAATCTTCAACGATTTGAAAGGTTTTAAAAATCAGAGCAAATAAATGTGAACATCATCAAACTGAATTAAACCCTCCCATGTTTACAGCAAATCTCAATGTAACATGTAACAAATCAGCACATGCAGTTCCCATTCATTCACTCAGTTTTCCAAGGAGCAAATAAGAGGTGAAAATTCAACTTTCTCCTGAAATTTTCTCACTTATTATTCTTGAAAAATATTTAAAAAAAATTCTTGAGAGAACATTTTCTTTGGTGTACTTAAAAAAAACCAAACATTCAAATCCAAAGGCCTCTGAGAAACTTATCACAAAACCAAAATCAAGTATCACCCTCAGTCAGGAATCACCTGTCATGGGGAAAGGAAGAAACTCTACTTTTCTTTTAGGCAGCTTTTCCTTTTGCTCTTTCACAAAGGTAAAAGTTTGGCTTTTATCCTTCCCAGATCTTCCCTCTCAGTAGCACTTTTAGAGGGAAAATGCTGTCCTGCTCTTCTGGACACTTACTCAGCCCCTTGGCAGCCTACACAGTGCACCCACACACTGCCCTCCAGTTCATCTGCAAACACAGGGTCTGTGTGCAGCAAAGGTCCAGAGACCTTTGTTTCTAACTCTTTGGAACTAACTGTGGTATTGCTGCCAAGCAGAACAGACTGACTCACTCTGATAACCTGCACTTTCCTATATGGTGTATCACTGTACTACTTCTATCTTTCCTTGCAGGTTTTCTCTCATCCACGAAAAACTTACTGGCAAAACCTTTTCCATATCAAATGCAATGTCAGGACATCTGAACTTTCAGTTACACAATATCCCCTTCCTAAGCTGAGGATCTTTTTGCATGTGAAGCTTTATCCAGTGGATATGAATTTGAACTGGAGGTTCTTGTGCAAGTACAGAGAAGGCTGAAGTTTGGTTAGTTTATGAACAGCATAAAAAACCCACCATAGTGCCACAGTATTGTCACAAATGGGTTAACTAATGACATTTTTCCCAATCACTATAGAAAATTGGATGAGGATAATGTTTATAACAACTCTTGCAGCTAACACCAATGTGAATTTAGTTCCCTGTGACATTAGATGCTCTTACCTGTTGACATTGACCCATACAAGGGTAAGATCAGGATGCCTTCCACAGCCTGATCATGCACTTCATACCGGTAATCAATCAACTCTGCCTTCTTGAACAGCAAGTCACAAGCTCTTTCTATCTCAATTTGACCTAAAAAACACACAAGAGCATTTAGGTGACTTACGTAGCTACAACTCCGCCTTCCCAGTTTGAAACACCTTGTTATAATGACAAAACAATCTTGTTTAAGAGTTGTCAACATCACCACAAGAAAGAAGTGACATTTATGAGTTAGTCCAGAAGGTGACATCCAGCCTGTCCAAAGTGCCTCTCACCAAGGCTTTTCCTCACAGGATGACTGCCTAAGGGCCTGCCCCATACACTGATGTAGGGTTTTGCAGCTAAAGAAATTCTTCCTTCCTAAATTAACAACCAAATAAACCATGGAGACAACACAGAGTCAATTTGGCAGAGGAAGAAAAGAGTATGCAAACCTTCAAGTTAATGTTTTTCCTGATCTAAGCTCATAAGTACAGATATACCTGAAAATTGTCACTTCACAAGGCTATGTGACCAACCTGCAAGTTTCCTTTCTCTACTCACTGCTCTGGCACAAAGCAGACACTCTCTGGAAGGTTGTTTTGCTGGCAAGGTCATGCTTCACCTGGAGTAACAGTCAGTTGTGGAAAGGAAAATTCTCACCTGTCAGGAAAACCAAGATATCTCCTTGGGGTTCATTCAAGTGGACATCCAGTGTCACTTTCACAGCCTGAAACAAACCACAAACAAGCCAATAACAGCTGGAATCTCATTCACTCTTTCTAAAACTCACAGTACTAATTAATTATTCCCTGTTTCCTGCAGAGATGGTATGAACACAGTAACATAGCAGCTAATTCTTGTGGTCTTTCCCAGAGGACAATCACACCAAAAAGACAAAACACACACAGAAAGCAAAGCAAACCAGACCTCTGTGACATAAGCAGAGCTGCCTATGTCCCTTGGGCTGAGCAGGTTGCAGAAGATCTCCTTGACAGGATAACTTCTTCCTGGAATGTTCAGCACTGAACAGTGTCCAAAGAACTCAGAGAGCTTGTCTACCTCCAGGGTGGCTGACATCACCACCACTTTCATGTCCGTCTTCCTCTCAGGTGGTTTCTTCTGTAGAAACAGTTTCTTCAGCAAACCAAATAAAATATCCTAACAGAAAACCAGAAGCAGCTGATGTTAGTATCCCAGTTTAATGAGAAGTGCCTGACAAGCTGGGAAGGGACTGATTTTAGCCCAGTGATACAGGGAAGACAGAAAATCACATATTCCAAGCCTAAGCCCTCTGAAGAAAACACAAGTTTACCCTGGACATTTTGTGAGCACATTAATTGGTTTCTAGAACTGAATTATTTTTGTATCAGCTCTTCTCACAGCCTATAAACAGATCAGTGGCACTTAAATTCCTCTGGTTTTCATTTTTGTGCTCTCATGGTCAAATTCTTTGCAAGCAGATACCTCAGACCCACTTTTCATCACCTCTGCCCCATGTACATCACCTGACTGTGTGTGCACCCTCCTTTGCTGCACTACTTATTGTTATGATTTCAGCAGGTTTGTTTCACTCTGGTGCTCTGGATTAAAAATCTGCTCCTTACAGAGACACAGATGATGGAGCAGTAACTCCTTACCTCATCCTAGCTCAGTTATTTGCCATATCCTCAGATGCCTGAGGGCACAACTGGGACTCAGACAGCATTTTCCCTTTTCCCCAGCTGGACTGGTAGATTGTTTGCTGAACTGTAGGTCATTTGACACACAACATCATCTCTTGAGGACTGAGTGACTTGAGTGTCCCTTTGCTTGCCACAGAAGGAACAGAGTGACATTTGAGAGCTGTTGGTACTTAGGTCAGTCTAGATACTTCCATGACCCCAACAGCCATAATCTCTTTGCACAGTCATGTACACACCCTAAGAAACTTTAGGCTTTAGAGTGAGAGAGATGTTTCAGCTTTTTTTTCTATTTCTGTGTGAATTGGGATTCTAGAAGTCTTCCAACTCCTGGAAATTTTGGGAGAGTATCTAATAGCCAGCAAAGTTTTAACTGCTTTCAAAAACACAACAGCAGCTACAACAATTCCAACAGGATTACAAGCTGCAGCTTGTTTTTAGACTATGCAGCACGTAATAAATGAAGCAGCAGGTGTATGGTCTCAGGAGAGCAAAAGGACAAAGCACAGCCATGGAAAGTCAGGCAGCACCCCTGGGGATTGTGTAGAATTGGAAGGAAGGTATAAGCAGACCACAGAAAAGGAGGAACAGGGACCAAAGGGACAGATAAGGTGACACTCACAGTGCTGAGGCTCCTCTCATGGGCTTCATCCAGAATGATGACACTGTACTTGCAGAGCAGGGGGTCAGTCAGTATCTGCCTCAACAAGCAGCCATCAGTCATATACCTGATGGCAGTCTCCTGAAAGGTTCAATTAGACATTCAGCAGTTACCCTGGATGATTATTCCCCAGTGAACACTTCTACACAGATCACACATTTTCCAGGCCACACTCTGAGAATGCAACACAGGTGCTTAGGCACCACATCACAAGTGCTTGGCAATGTTTCACCTGTAAGGTGTTCAAACAACTTCCTCAGTGGGTTGTATGATACACACAGCTGCAGCTTCACCACAACTGGGACAGAAGCTTCCAAAGGCTTTAAGTCCTTCTATACACAAAGTTCCAGGTGAGGCACGAGGGTTGTGCCACTCCTTGGAGGGACCCACGGGCAAAACACAGAGGCCCTGAGCTCAGCACAGCTGCAGGAACAGTCCCAGAGCCCTTACCTCGGTGGTGCAGTCGTCAAAGCGCACCTGGTAGCCCACAGTGCTCCCCAGGGCACAGCTCATCTCCTCAGCCACTCGCTGAGCCACCGAGATGGTGGCCACACGTCGGGGCTGCGTGACACCGATGGCACCGAGCTTGGCCAGGCCTGGGGAGAGCACACAATGAGGTGGCTTGGAAGGACCTCAAAGATCATCCTGTTCCAGTTCATAGAATCCATTCCTGGTCGTAGAATCACAGACTGGTTTGGGTTGGAGGTGACCTAAAAGCTCATCTAGTTCCACACCCCCTGCCATGGGCAGGGACATCTCCCATCAGCCCAGGTTGCTCCAAGCCCCATCCAGCCTGGCCTGGAATACTCTCAGGGATGTGGCAGCCACAGCTTTTCTGGGCAATTTGTTCAGAAAGAATGGGGCAGGCTTGCTAGGGGGAAAAATAAAGTAAAAGCAAACAATAAACCCCCACCCTGCAGTGTTTCTCACTGATGGATTTCCCTGATCCAGATCAGACATCCCTCCTCAAGGTTAGTGCATTGCAGGGCTATACATAACATACTCACACACACAGAGCCTCTCCCCAGTCTCAGCAGGAGTGGTGCTTTTATCTCTTATTACAAACACTGACAATCAGGGTTTAACCCCAAAGCTTACACTTGAATCCACAGCACACGTTTCTGGGCAAAATGTACAGGAACATTCAATTCCTTCCTCATATCCCATTTAAACCTCCTGTTTTTCAGTCTGAGGCGATTCCCCCTTGTGCTGTCACTTCACACCCTTATCCAAAGCTCTCCTGGAGTCTTTTGGGCACTGGAAAGCCACGATAAGGTCACCCCAGACCCTTCCCCAGGCTGAGCATCCCAATGACTGCGGGACAACGACAACGACTTGTGCTGCTCAGAGTCAGTTTATATACAAACACCCACGTAACATACATATATAACCACAGGGTTTTTTCATCTCAAAGCTTTCAACAAGCCACCTCCTCTCCCCACCGCCCAGCCCAGAGCTGTCACCGTGAGGGAACCTGGGCACTCCATCTCCGCGGGTCAGGGCTGAGGCCGCAGCTCAGAGAGGACACGCAGAGGGTTTTTTGCCCTCCTTTCCCACGTGTGTTACCTGCTTCGAAGAGATACTTGGGCAGCTGCGTGCTCTTGCCGCTGCCCGTCTCGCCGGTGACGATGAGGAA